CGATTGTATAATAAGAGGGGTTGTATTTGAACGCCCCTGTACACACACACACATATATATATATATATATATATATATATATATACGCCCCTCTACACACACATATATATATATATATATATATAAACGGGAGAAAAGAGATAGACACAGGATGGATGGAAGCATGTATAATGTAGTGTGGTTTATTGTTGTTAAATGAATACCAGAGCCTTGAGGAACAGCTTGTAGATTTGTCTTCACTCTTGTACGACCATCGTCTACAAGATGCATACATGAACAGTACTGATATTCTTGAAAGCTCCATATTCACACAGCAGTAAGTTAATCTACAATCTCTCTCTGTGAGTTCAATCTTTTATTTTTGGTGGTCGTTTATTGGTCATGATAATACATTTTTATGAATTATTGCTTTTATATGCAGGTATGTCGACCATGTTCTGGAGAGTGAAAGGAAACGAATGAAATGTTGCAATATCGAGTATAACCAACCAACACACTCTTCTCAAAGCCTCATTTATGCCGTGATCCTCCTTGCAGGTTTCTTTGTGTATTTTGTTGTCATTTTCTTTTCATCTCCTGTCAGGTGATTACAGTAGCAAGTAACACCCCAACTCATATTTCATCCATGGCTCAACTGCATCCAAAAGTTGTTATGGTTCAACTTCTGATCGATTATAAATCTTTGGCGTGCAGTTCCTGCATTTTTGTCGTGTCTATCTCTCTTCCTGTGGAGGTTAAAATACTAGATGGCTCTTTTGCTTCATTTGCACATATTGAGCTGAAACTCGGCAACATTGTTGAACTGGAGTTGGCAGGTTAAGGAAGGAAATGTTTGAGGGTGCATTCAAACGGTGAGTGGCTCGATTGTATATTGAGTTTTAACCAAATGCTCATATATATATATATATATATATATATATATATATATATATATATATATATATCATGGACTCCACAAGTGATGTTTTTGTCATAGGGAAAGGTGGTCTACCTACACAAAGAAGATAAAAGTAGTATGAAAGATCGATTAATAAGCGGCCTGAAAAAAGAATTTGGTGTATGTCTCACCTTCTTTTTTTGCTTGCAATTCGGCTTTTGTTTTTGATACGATAAACCGAAGACATTTTATCTCTTCTTGGGAAGAAAAAGACAGTTGAAAATTGTGTTTTTGGTTATATATACCTTTCTCATAACATACAGAAACTTAGAGTTGCAATATTTTGATATGATCTACTTGAACCATAACGTTTTATTTCTTTCTTAAATGATGTTACTAGTGATTTGTTGATATTGTTTAGAGTGAATTATGTTTTTCGTTCTCGTGGTAGAGAAATTGTGGTTTTTGTCCCTATGAGTTGTAATTCCTTGTTATTTATGATTTATTGTTGTTTTGGTCCATGTAGTTTACAATTCTTTATTGTTTTGGTCCTTTGTACTTAAAGTTAGAAATTTATTACCAAACGATAGGGACGAAAGTTGTAATTTATTTTGATAGAGAAGAATCTTATAAAGTAAACATGAATATGATGATATTGGAATGTGACGAGGCTTTGATGTTAGAAAAATAATAGAGAAATCTAAAGATACAAAGTAATAGTGAAGATATAGTTGTAAAATCAACTTATTTTGTGTGGACATAATATGATAATGTGAAGAAATGATAAGGAATTTGGATTGTTCTGGTCAGGGAAATTTGTATTTTTACTTCAAATAATTTGATGTATGCTTTATAATATGATTTAAAGAATATTGAAAGTAAAACAACAGCCTATTAACCTTACTTCTTGTTGTTGTTGATGGTCTCCTATCTTATCCTTTTTTATTGGCTGTCGGTCACACCAACTCCATTCTATTTTCTACTATGTTTTTATTTATTTACAAATAAATAATTTAATTTAATTTAATTAACCCTTTTATTATTATAAAATAAAATAAAGTTGAAAGAAAAGGAATCTTGGAACTACCATTACCATTACCATCACCATCACCATCACCATCCATAAGCACTTTGGTGGACCTCACACGACACAACAGCACATACATGGATGGAGCTTTTCCTCCCAACACAATATTCGTGTCGTGTCATCTCATCCTATACCTATTTTAATTCTATTTACACTTTACACCCTTTATCTATCTTCTTTTACACAAAAACAAAAGTCACACCTTAAAAAATATACTCTCATACTCATATCAAATTACCACTAAGTAAGTAATGATGATTTTAAATGATCAATTATCTAATCTTAGAGTGTTAGGATAAATTCTAATTGGTGAAATTTGATAAATAAAAAAACCAGTTAATGAATGAAGATAAATACAAACTCCAAGTTATTAGACATCACAATCATTTAGATTGTTTCCATTTTTTCATAGTACTGAGTTGTTTAACATATATAATATGTCATTGGTCTCAATTATCTGTACACTAATTATATGATTGATAAGAAAGGGAATAATACAAAGAGAAAAGTTGGAGGGTAATAAACTAAACGTTTAAAATTCTTGATGGACGAAAACAGAATAACTAAAAACTTCATAAATATTCCATCACGTGCTATTATCGAGCCTATAAATATGACGACTTCGTTTCGAGATTTCTGTGGCTTAATGTGTCCCACCGGAACTTCCCTGCCAACGAATTTACGATCGGCATTTGACATCCTAGACGTTGACCGCCATGGAAAGATCAGCCACGACACGAGGATCTGAAGGTTTTTTACGCGGAGGTAGGCGATGAGATGATCGGCACGATGATGACGGTGGCGGATTTGAATAAGGACGGTTACGTGGAGTAGGAAGAGTTGGAGAACGTTCTGAGGACTCACGTTAGCAGCTGTGTGATGGAGGATGTGTTTAACGATATATATGGACACAGACGGTGACGGAAAAGTAGCTAGGGTACGGAGACCTGTATAGTTATCTGGGTTCGGCGGGAATTGAAGTGAAGGACGATGATATCAAGGCGATGGTTAGGTTAGGGTTTGGGTTTGGGTGCGGAGATAATTATAATGAGAAGGAGGGCGTGACGTTGGAAGGATTGGCCATTTGATCGATCCATGGAATTGATGGGTTAAGATGGCATTAATTAATTTGTTTGTGAATTAAAATTTGGAATCAAGGATTCATTACATTTTTGTGATGGAGGCTAATATAAGCTTTGGTTTGTGTTGATGGATCATAAAAATGAATTCTTGTATTTAATTCACAGTCACACATATAGAAATGATTGGGTTTGATTTCCATTTAATTGTTTTCTTCTCTGGATTTTGAATCTTCATCTTGAATCATTCAAACAAAAGAAAAGAAAAGAATATATGTAGATTAGGATGATGAAATGCATTAGATCAATAATCCCCACGATAGAAGAAGGAAGGGATGTAGTAATTGGCATATTCATGTGAAACAAATTAATATATGTTAGATTGGTATTTTAAATCTTAATTTTAGATGAAAGCAAAATCACATGAATTATACATGGTTGTTGTGAGTTGTCAAAAGTAATTATTTATAGGATATATATATATATATATATAATATCAATAAACAAAGACGTATTTATTTGTTTTGTAGAAAAATGAAATTGTATTGCAGTCATATCATATGATTCATAATTAATATTAATATTAATATTAATATTAATAGAGTTGGAGTTGGATGGGTTAATTAAAAAGCAATTGAATTTTGTCACGTGCATATATTTTCTGAAAAAACAAGATTGAATTTTGATCAACTCCACTTGCTTCTATCAACATCACCCACCCTCCAATGATAATTAAATGAAAAAATTATATAATACTTTAACAACTTTTTTTAATTATATATTTCTTTTTAATTAATTATTTTTTAATAAATTAAATGTGGGGTTTAGACAGACTTGTCTTTCTAGTTTTGCAAGAAAACTCCACTAAAATCTTATTTTAGCATGTAATATAATTGTTGGAGATGTTTTTAAAACAGTAGCTAGCTACCATTTAATTTGTTAGCAAAAAAAAAAGATTAAGCATATAATATTTGATAAGATTTAAAGTCTTGACTATCTACATATTATTAAACCCTTTCGTTAATTAATAATGTTAATGTTAATTATGATTATAATTATAATTGGTGGGGTTGCAAACTTATAACCTTAACCTAACTTCACTTGCACTTGCACTTGCAGTTGCTGCTCATCCAAGTCTCCACCCCACCTACCTTTGTCTCACTCTTTTCATGCTCCATGATCATTTCATACTTTTATTCATACATCATCTTCATCTTCATCTTCATCAACATATATATTTGTATAATTATAATTATATATATAGAAAGAGAGGTAATAAAAACATTTGAAAGAAATAAATAAAGAATGTTGGTTCCAATTAAGAATGGAAAGTATAAATATGAAATAAATGGCGGAAGGAAATGTCATTTAATGTTAGTGATGGATGGAAATATATGATTAATTTAATCTCATTCATATCCTACTTGTTGCTTTTTATTTCCCTTACAAAATTCATTCCTAGGTTTTATACATATTAATTAATTAATGGTACAACTCTCATTTCAAAATGTCTACTATTTTTAAATTAAAATACTTAATTAAACAGGCATCATGCATGCATGCATGTGTTGGATCGAGTAATAAAAACATCAATTTTTGGATAGAGAAAAATAAAAGCTATATTTTTTTTTTTTTTTTAAAAGATGGGAGTTGAGTTAATATTTTTGGGTTAGTGGATGCCATTCACATTCATCCAAAAACATTGATTATTATTATTATTATTATATGTTTCTTCCTTTTGTCGTTTATTGCCCCCACCTCACTTTAACTTTCACATCTTCACCCCTTCTGCTTTCTTATTTTCCATTTCACTCCCATTTTTCTAATCAATATACTTTAAGACACCACATTCACATTCACATTCACATTCTATTCTATTGGTTTAACAACTTACCTACATTTTTTAATACATACGGGACACAAAACCAAAACATGCCCTTTTGTTTTTCTTTACTACTTGCCTTTGGATTATTCATAAAGAAATGTATCTATTAATTTCTCTCTTTTTTATGATTTGAAGGCATATCAACTCTTTCATAACTTTTACAATTAGTAAGTAAATAGATTCATATATAAATCAATACAATATATAGTTCACATCTCAACTAATTAACGCCTTCATCTGTGAAATCACACAAATTCATATATATATATATATATATATATATATATATATATATAAACTTATTTATTTATAAAAATTACAAAACTACCCTACTATCTCTTGCATGCTCATGCGATGTATTATCCACAAATGTTGATCACATTAAGGGTTATGATCACTTCCTTACTTCTCACTTATGATAAGTAAATAAGTAATCATATCTTTTTATACGATCAAAATTAGTCAAGAATTGCGGCTTCGACCTCTCAAGCAAAAATTAGATGAGTAGTTTCATAACTTTTACAAATAAGAGGCAAACAAGTGCATATGCGAGAAGTAAAAAGTAGGACGTTAATTATTTTTCATTTCCCTTTTTTATAAATATTAAACTTTAGAATAAGTTATTATTTTGTTTTAATTCAATCTTATGCAACATAATTTAAATGTAATAATATATAGGATATTTTAATTTTCATTAAATATAATAATATTTTATATTTCATTAGTTTAGTGTATTATTAATTTAATTTTCACTCGATTATTTTTCTTACATATACATTATCTACTATTAATGTATAGAAAAACTTACATTTTTATAAAATATATTTGACTATTTTAAATAATAAAAACATCACATGATAAAATAAAAATAGTGGATATAAAAAAATTGTAATTAAAACATCATCTGTAAACACAAGTTTTATTTCATGCAATAAAATAATACAATATCCCTAAAGTGAAACAAAATTATTGTTGTTTGACAATGTAAAAACAAACAAATTAAGTTGATGTAAAATGTAACGTAAAACACTAAAGTGTTGTTTCACAAGTTGCAACAATGTACTGTCATTTCACAATTTGAAAAGAAAACAAAACAAAACAAAAGTTGATGTAAAATGAGATGTGAAACACTAAAGTGTTGTTTCATACTGTGAAATAACACAATGTTTCACACGATATGAACAATGTAGTGTTGTTTCACATGGTGAAAGTGAAACAATTCAATATTGTCTTATCATGTGAAAAGAAACAAAAAATTATGTGAAATATTATATTGTTGTTTCATAAGGTGAAATAACATACGAGTTAGATTATTTTTATTGTTTCATGTAAAAATTGCAAGTATTAGGAAAACATATAAAGAAGATAAAATGTTCGTTTTGTTTTTTATATAAATCTTTTGACAAAAAAGTTTGTTGTAGTTAATATATTTTTAATTTAAAATTTTATTGTGATTGATATAATTTTGATTGCCGCTATTATTGAATATAGATTGGATGTTAAATGTGACTCTTTCAACTTACCATTTATCTCATAATTAGTTTCAAATTTCAAAAATATTACAAAAATATTATTGTCTTTCATAACCGTAGATTAAATTCAATTAAAGATTGAAATTGGTCCCTATGGTCCTCAACCTTTTTTTTTTATCCTTACATGAATTAATTAACCCCTATACATATACACACACCCACACCCACACCCACACCCCATATATATATATATATATATATATAGATTCCGATAAGAATGAAAGTTCCGGTGAAAATGATAAGAATACATTTTCATCCTTAGATCAATCCTAATTGAAGATCAACAACGAATGCGGAGAACCAAGATGCACCGGACCAATTTACATGACAAGCTTAATTCACTACGTGGAGATGAGATTAAAAATGATCAAGAGTCCAGTTACTTTCTTACTGTTCTTACCTTAATTCTTATTACTACACGAATATTCGTGTATATACTGTAATTTTAGTTTTGATGGAGAGAAATGAGAATAAGAATGAAAGAGGGAGGGTTGAGGGTTGAGGGCCAAACGGCGTCATGGTGAAGAAACAAACAAAATTATGGAGGAACCAAAATGTGAAACCGAAAAACGTACAAGGGCTAAAACTGAAAAACATAAGAGCTTTAAAAGAGATCGTGTGAGAGAGAGAGAGGGGGAAGGAGCCAAGGCGTGATTCCTCCCCCACCTTCCTTCCTTTCTTTCTTTCTTCTCTCTCTGCACCAAACCAAAGTTATTTCTGAGATTCTTTCTGTGAATTCATCCCACAATATCACCATTAAGTTTTCTTCTTCAATTCAAGGTATATATCCTTAATTTGATTGTCGTTTCAAGATTTCCTCTAAAATTGATCAGTTGATTTGGAATTTGTGTTTAAATAACCGGATTCCACCTACATATTTCCTTCCATTCCTGTTTACTGTTTTGGTAATATTTCGATTTGGATTACAGAACCTGATTTGTAGGCTGTTGTTTACGCTGCGAATCTTTGTACGCTTGTTGATTCGAATTATTTAATTATTCTTGCTTCTGACATGATTGATATGAATATGCAGCTACTGATTTCAGATCCTCTGGCCATTGATCCGTTGTAGCAACAATTCATTGAAACGCTTCCTTTTTGGTGATGGCATCACCGACGTTTATTTCGGATCCAGTAACCAACAACATGGAAAGAGCTCGTGATTCATCCAAGAGAAGAAAGAAGAAGAAAATCCAAAGGCAATCTGGCGGTGGTGGTAGAGATCAGATGAATCACAACTTGAGTAACAATCAGATGTTGCCGTGGAAATCCGAAGCTCAGCAACAAGTATACAGCTCCAAACTCTTGCAAGCTCTCCGCCAGGTCCGGATCAGCTCCGATTCGTCTCCTCCATCGGCTCCTCGCCGCGGACGTGCTGTTCGTGAAGCGGCCGATCGAGTCCTCGCGGTCACGGCAAAAGGAGGGACTAGATGGAGCCGTGCGATCCTCACAAATAAACTCAAGCTTAAATTCATGAAGAATAATAAAAGGCAGAGAGGGGCGGTTGTCACGGCGACAGGGAACAGCCGATTAAAGAAGCCGCGAGTGAGTATTTTAAGGCTGAAAACGAAGAATTTACCGGCAGTGCAAAGGAAAACGCATGTCCTGGGACGGTTAGTTCCTGGTTGCCGGAAACAACCATTGCCGGTTGTATTAGAAGAAGCGACTGATTATATAGCCGCTCTTGAGATGCAAGTGAAGGCCATGGCTGCCCTGGCCAACCTTCTCTCCGGTGGCGGTGGTATGATTAGCCAGCCACCACCGAGCTTGTGAAATCAAAACTCTTGCTTCTTTTTTTCTGATTATTATTTTTCCGTCCAAGTAGGGCGCATGCTACCGTCAAAATTCATTCTCTTTGTTTTTTCTTGTGTTTTTTTTGTATTTCTGTTGATGATGATTGTAAAAAACTGTCTTCCCATGACGCTGTAGAGAATAACACCCACCAAATTAAAAAAACCCAAAGGGAGCATCCATTAATATTATATTATGATAATTTAATTATTTGGTTTTATCTTGAAATGAGTGGGTTAGGTTAGGAAAGCTTTTGTTACAACCTAATGATGGTCTGTCTATACATATGGTTTTCATTCATCCACCTTATTATACCTAATATATAATTATCAAGTCAAACAAAAATAAGAAATTGGTGTTGAGAGAGAAATATACTTGTAATTTGTTTCAAAAATCTTATTTATTCATTCGTTTTGGTAATTATGTACATGAGAATAATTAATGATATATGGATGGAGTCATTGCATTGCATGTACTTATCATAGGATGAGATTAATTAATGAGTTTTGGATTATACAAATTAAAGTTTGTTTCTTATATCATAAACATGTGGATATTAGTTAGTTTGGGCATTCAAGTTTTGGATTGTTGTTTGGTTATGTGATACAATGGATTGTTTAAAAAAGTTATCTTGTCTTAAACTTTTTAAAGTAGGCCTCGCTAATTAGATAAAGAAAAAGTATTGAATGGAATTTTTTTTTTTTTTTAATTTAAAAATATGTAGAAAGAGAAGACATGAGTTGTAGGCAGCACAAGACAATATATAACTGAGACCATCAATCAAACTTTTAATTAATGAAACCCTCCTCCATTTTAATTTTAATATTAAACTTTCAAATTGATGAGTAGGATTCTTCCTGTTTGACGTTGTTGCTTGGTCTTGTGGTTTTCGAAAAATTACAATATTTCCATCAAGTATAAGAATAAGATATATGTAAAATCTAAAAAATTAAAATTAAAATTAATTTTAGTTGTGATGCTTTCTTTAAGTTTTAACTCAAAGAAATGAAAAAAACATGAAAGCTTGTTTTAATTTGTATAGGTGGTGATTAATGTGTATATATATAATCTTGAAAAATAAGTTCAATCATTACATAAAATTGTTTCATAGATTTTAAGTTTAAGTTGTTGATTTTAATAATTATTTCTTATAAATATAAAAAGGTAAACAGTATCAAAAGAATAAATATTAATTGTTGATGAGGCACTTCTTGAATATTGTTAATATAAATATAGTGTTTACATGTTTTTCCTATTATTATTATTATTATTCGAGTAAATTACGGACTTCGTCTTTGTGGTTTCCAAATTTTCTTGGACAAAACCTGTTTACGAGATAGACCTAGAGTTGCATTTTCGTAATACATTGGTCCTTGTCACTAACGGTTGTTAACTCACATCCGTTATGTGAGAAGCTTTTGATAGGGATGGCAACGGGACGGGGATGGGGCGGGGTTTGCAATCCCCGGCCCCGGCTCCGGTTTATATACAGAGTCCCCGGCCCCGGCCCCGTCCCCGGTCAACTTTCGGTCAAATTAAAATTAATAAGTTTTTTCTAAGCATGATCAACATAACAACATAATTAGTTAATTACATCATATCTAGTCTTACCTAATAAAAATAATAAAATTGTAAAATTAACAATAATCCAAGAAGATGAAAAATTTAAAACAAGTGTTTTCCAAGCATTCAAACAACACATAATTCCATACTCCAATCCCTCAACAATCAACATCTTCATCGTATCCAATCGTTTGATCAAATCCTTTTGATTCTCCGTGTTTTTGATCTGAAATAAAATAATGCAAGTCAGAATAATTATATATACCAATTGCAATTTACAAAATTATTACAACAAACAATTTATATAATTATTACCTTCAATTTCTTTCCTTAGCCAACTTTGGCTGCACATCAAAGCCCCAATTGTTTGCGATTTTAGTCGACTTCGTTGTTTCGTTACCTTGTTTCCAYTCATGCTAAAAGCCGATTCCGAAGCTACTGTTGAAATAGGAATGGCCAACACATCCCTTGCAATCCGCTGCTTGATAGGAAACTTGACACCGTTGCACTTCCACCATATTAATATATCAAAATCCAATTGCCATGAGGCCTTGCTTGAAGAAGAATTCCCCTCACTTGAAAGAGTAGTGCCACTTTGTCTTTTCCTTTTATTCTGATCATGTTTCTTTTTGTACTCCTCAAATAAATCATTACCTAGAGTCCTTATCCTCATAACCTCATCTTTTGAGTCCACACCATAAATCTTCGGGAAGAAATAATTTATCAACTTTAACTTATATCTATGATCTAGAACAATAGCCACACTCATCACATCATGTATGACTCCCCAATATTTATCGAATTTAAACAACATACTTGATGCCATGTTCCTAATAACGTCATTTTCATCGTCTTCCCAACTCTTAATAGATAATTTTATGTCACATATCAAAGGGAAGAACATGTTGGAAGTGGGGTATTTGGTCCCGAAGAATGTCTTTGTCACACGATAAAATAAACCTAACTTCTCACAAAGTCGCCATTCTTCAGTCCTCTTCACTAGGTAAAGAAATATAATGTTTCTCTTTCTTGCTTAAACGAGTAAAGAAATCTTTATATTCTAAAGCCACATTCAACATTGTATAAACAGAATTCCACCTAGTCTTACAAGCAAGCACTAATTCTCTTTCACAATCTACACCTAGTTGTCGTGCAACGAGTCTAAAGTCTTGGGCTCTATTAGGAGAACATGTCCAAACTGAGACACTATCCCTAACATTCGTGATTGCTTTCTCAATCATAGAAAACCCATCTTGCACAATGAGATTAATGATGTGTGCACAACATCTCATGTGAAACAACTTACCCTTCAAAATTAAGGAGGAAGGAGAAAGAGTATCTAAGAGCCTGTCAACCAAAGCATCATTTGTTGAACGATTGTCAAGTGTCAATGTTGACAACTTGTTATCAATGTTCCAATCCATAAAGCACTCGATCATAACGTGAGACAATGCATCAGCAGTGTGTGGAGATGSCACATGTAAAAAGCTGCATCAAAGATTCAAAGAATATATTAAAATGAGAATATTAACATTGAATTATAAAAATAGCACAAAATACTAAAAAAAGAAATAACCTGATAATCCGATTTTGTAACTTCCAATTGGCATCTATGTAATGTGTTGTTAGTGTCATGTAACATTTGTTTTGGTTACCGGCTGTCCACATATCCGAAGTAAGAGCAATCCTACTTTCGTTTTCTTCCAAACATCGCAATACACCACCTCTTTTTGTTTCGTATATCTTCATGATGTCAGACTTGATTGTAGCTCTACAAGGCACCTTAAATAAAGGTTGAAGACCATTTGAATACTTCTGAAAGCCATGATGCTCCACAATAGAAAGTGGATAATCATGAAGAATGATCATCTTAGCTAATATTTGCCGGTTCACTCACTTCAGTCTCAGGACTAATATTTGACCCCATAGGCATGCTTACAGATTCGTTTGTGTCATTACAAGTCGTATTACGTCCAATATCTTCTGTGTTTTTGTTTTGTGAATTTTCCATCTTAGAAAAAGAATAAGAAATTACTCAATTAGGCACACTGACAACGAGATACATTCAAATTAAAAGTTTAAATAAAAGCTCCAATCTTGTCTCAACATACATGTAACAATAATTTAACAATAAACAACAGTTGTAATACAAAGAAACAAAACAGTGGCTGTAAGTCTGTAATAGTAATACATTTAACAATATGAACTTAAACTGTTAAACATATGAATGGAAACAATTCAACAAACAGTAGTTGTTTAATAAAGAAATAAAGTGAAGCTATACAAGTTGTTATGAATGGAAACAAAATTATGACCTAATTATATAAGCCTAAATCTAAAACAAAAAACCTACTGTCCTAATGACCTGATTGATGAAGAGCAAGATGATAGATGACCTAATTATCACTGAGTCACACATTGATGATATTTACTTCATCATTGAACTAAATATATCTAATTCCATTTAAAAACGTGCAGAGGTCCTAATTATGCCCTAAATATCATTATGCCCTAATTATCTTGCACAGGTCCTAATTATGTATGTATGTATATATATATATATATATATATATATAGAGAGAGAGAGAGAGAGGAGGGGGGGGGGGAGGGGAAGGATCATCCAAGAAATTAAACATTTTGTGAGAAGACAAAAAGTGTCAATACTCATTTGGATATTTTAAATCGTATATGATCAAACATCTATGTCTTGTCGATGCAACAAATCAAGTTTTCACATTTTATTTATAGAAATATCGAATAACCATTATCTACAACCCAATGTGAATAGAAAGCCAATAGGATTCAAGAAAAGAAAATTTAAAACAAATAATAAACCAGTGTGATTAAATTAAAAACAATGTAATTCAATGAAAACCAATATTATTTATCGTCTTGCTTATAGCAAGATTTCATCTAAAGCACAACTAAGCAAGGCCAGGAAGTAGAAGAAAATATTCCCTCTTTAATTGAACATTGGAGCGAGCGTCAATCATCTTGCTTATCACCTTTGCAGTTTTAAGGACATGTTAAAAAAATAGACAAATATTTAGAACATGATGTTTCCAAATTAAACGTGAAGGTATAAAGTTGATTTCCATGTCTTGTACAAGCAACACGGCCGGTCTTGCGTCTTTTTTGTGCACCAGATGAAATCCCACGATAAACACAATTTATGGATCAACCGTTTTAACAAATTATTTTGTTTTTACTTTGCATTTTACAAGGATAATGGCTTACATGATAAAAATGATAAAATACTAACCTTCAAAAATTTGATTATTTTATTAGACAATTTGTCTTTTTAATATTTTTAATGCACATTAATTTATCGACTCAAGAAAGTGACATTTAAAATCCCTTATAATCCCCAATCTTTGATCCTGTACGTCCCGCAAATGCAACATAGGCGGACCTATGTACATCTGAACATCCTCTCATGCCTCTTCAATTTATTCATGTAAATATGAAAGGTGTACCAGCTAAATTTTGAGGAATGTTTCGATACAATTAAAAAAATATAAGAAACATCAATCAAAACCAAAAAAAAAGTATCTCGAAATCAACCAAGAAACCGAAAACGTCTTTCGAAATGGACTAAAAAATCCCTCGAAACCATGCCACCTATTTGTAAAAAATAGAGAAGTAGTTTTGTAACTTTTACAAATAGACGGCAACAAAAATGCATAATTCTAACAAATAGGTGGCAAATAATCAGTTAAATAGTTCATATGTGAATCATTTAATTAGTTCATATGTAAATCAGTTAAATAGTTCATATGTAAATTAGTTAATTAGTTCATATGTGAATCACACGCGTTTATATGTGAATCAGTAAAGTAGTTCATATGTGAATCACACTAATTCACCTTTGCACATATAGTTCATATGTGAATCAGACGGGTTCACATATGCACTTGTTTACCATCTATTTGTAAAAGTTACGAAACTACCTCTCATTTTTCGTATACCATGCCACCGAACTGTCCGGTGCTTCGCAGTTAAAATCGTAAATCTTAACTAGATAAAGAAGTATAATCACTTCTCTACTTATCACACATTTAGCACTCATCACATATTTAGCATTTCTCAAATGAACATCTCTCCGTGTATGTATGTTTGACATAGAACAACATTCTTTTATACGTTTTGTTCTATATAAAAAGTCACATTGTTATTTTTAAAGGTGAATAATTACGGATGAGGTCCACTTTGTTAATTTCATAGTGATACAAACAAAACGTCACAAAATATGTCGACTAACTATAATTTTAAATCATGAATTAATATAATTACGTAACCAATCCAAGTATAGCCTTTAACACACAACCAATCAACTGTACCCCATCATTAAACACGGTGAAGAAATTAAGAAGGTAAGTCAACTAACTAGATAAGTTTATATAAGCAGTTCGTTCGGTTAAATCATCTATCTTTAAAATGTTCAAACTATAGACCAGACTATACCATACAATATGGTTATTTTTTAGACCAGACTAAACTGCCAAATTGCCAAAAAATCGTCCAGTTTATTACGGTACTATTAGTTTTTGGTTTTTTTTTAACACTCTTACACGACAAAGAGGGTAGGAATTTGGTAGGGGAGATGGGGTTAGGCTAATGGTCATGGAGTTCTAGTAGGAGGGTTCACCCTTGTGTCCTCTGTGTGTGTATATATATATATATAGTATGAATAACATAAAATTACAAAAAAGACTAAATCATTAAACTTTTTGCTAGTTTGTTACATATAATTTTTTTGGTTAAAATAAAGTAAAAATCAATTTTTAAAAATTTTATGATTTATTTATTAAAAAATGTTTAAAAATTTAATCGTTTAAAATGAAAAAATTTAATAGATATTTGCTTAAAATAATAATTTAGATGAGAAAATTAAATCCATTGAAGAAAAAGAATTGGTTTAGTGGAGAGCTTGTAGTGTAATTTAATATGGAATGACATGACATACCCAAAGGAAGAAGAAGAGGTTGTTGGACCACCGACAGTCGATATTCTCTATTTATAATAAAAATAATTAAAAATCAAATATTTGATTAAGTAAGGTTGCCAATTGAAATCTGAGTCAATGAGTATCTTTTAATTCAAAATTAAATGGCCTTTTAATATGGTTTTAAAAAACATTATTTCAAATTTTGAAGACTTGGTATGAATGCAACTAACTCCATTTACATTTACATTTACATTTACATTTCTATTTCTTCCATTTGAAGAAAAATTTAATAAAAGTAGTACATGAACAAACACATATTTAACATAAGATACGTATACTCTAAAACAAATATTCATAATATCAAATAATTAATACTTGTGTTGGTTTAACATATTTTAAACAAATTTTTTTTTGATAGTATATTCTTTTAATACAAAAATGTTACATTAAATCAATTCGTAAAAATTCGATAATTTATTTATTTAAAAAATGTAGGGTATTAATGATTTGAAATGTAAAAGCTTAAAAAAATAGTTTAGTAAAGTTATATCTTTAGGGTGAATCCCGTGGTCCTTTTTGTCGGTGCATCTATAGAATGATTTGTTTATATTAATAAAAAAAATGCTCCATATGTTGTTGAATTCAAATTTATTATTATTATTATTATTATTATAAGATATTAGAAAGGTAATTGCACAATATAACAAGATACATTTTGATATTAATATTTTATTTTATTTTTTATTTCAGTCGAGATTATAATATGGTCTTATGTGAGTTTGAGAAAGCGGTGATGTTTTTATTTTTGAATAAAATATAAATTTGAAGATATCATAAACATTTGACAAAAGTATATCGATATTATTATCAAATTAACTATTTGAAATCTCTCATTTTTTGTGTATTTTTTAATTTAATTTTTTATTATAATTTAATTTAGGTACAATAACGAAATAATTTATATTTGATTTAATAATATAACTATTTTATTATAACTCGATAATTATCCTAATAATATTTTAGATTTTTTATATTTTAAAATGAGATGTTTATCTTCTATTTGATTATGTTTATCCACAATTAGTTATACGAATTCAAACATGGAGCTTTAATAATATAATTTTCTTATAAAAATGTTTTTTAAGAGTTTTTGTCAAATGTTTTATAATATAGTATAGATTACTTTGTATTTATATTTAATAATTTTAATAATTTTAATCAATATTTTTAATTATATATATATATATTTTATAGTGAAAAAGCCTTACAAGTGAGTCAGTAAGAGAGGTTGGTTGGAGCGGAGCAAGGCGACGTTTACTTCATGCTTAGCTCCACACACACACATATCACACTCTTAACTTTATTATATAATATTAGAAGCGTATTCGCATAATACAGCGAGATATATCGTGATTTTAATATTTTATTTTTTCTTTATCTTAGTCGATGTTATAATATATATGGCTTTATGTGATTTTGAGAAAACGATGATTTTTTTTATTTTTGAATAAAATATATGTTTGAAGATATCATAAAAATTTGACAAAAATATATCGATATTAGTATCAAATTAACTATTTGAAAT